TTTGTTCTGGATATTGTAATACACATTAACATTCTGCAAATTCTAATAACAACAATTCTAACAAAATCTTTGCATAAACATTAAGTATAACACAATTAGGCACAATTATTCTATACGAATAGAAAAAAAAATACATTTAAAACAACATATCTGTCAGCCGATGATAAATAACAAATTATATGAAAATAAATCAAAATCAAAATATATATTATTAATATTTATTGAATAAAAACATAAACTTACAAGGATAAACCCATAAAATTCATGAATCCGTATCATTATTATACTGAAATAAAACTCCATAAAATCTTATACGACTAAATTGAAAACATTATTGAACTTCTAATCTCTCTTGACGAATTAAACTTCTATTCTCTCTTGACTAATGCATGAGGACAGTTCCTCCTATCATGACCAACATAAAAACAAATCCCACATCTTCTTTTTTTCTTCAAATCTTGATTCACTTTGGATTGCTTGACATTCCGACCATTGTTATCAGAAAAGTCTTTGTTATTGTTATCAACATTATCTTTCTTTTGAAAATCAAAACAAGTATAATTAAAACAATGAATTTCATCAATGACTATCATAAGAAAAAATATGATATGCAGATGAGGAACGATTAGTTTGCAATATCAGAAGAAATAATATATGAAAAAGAAAAAGGTAAATAAAAAATACCCCCATTAACGAAATATCAGAAAAAAAAATATGATATGAAGATTTAGTCTGCAATAGAAGAAAACATATATGATGCATATATATGTATATGTATATATGTGTGTGTATATATATTAGATATATATATATATATATATATATTATATATATATATATATATATATATATATACACATTATGTTTGATAAGATCCATAATTAATAGCCTGATATTTAGGAATTTGATTGAAATCATTCACATTTTAATTTAATCCCGATAATATTAATTATATGGTAAGATTACACTAATACCCAAAAAGAATGATTGGATGATATTAAATCCTACAACCATACAATAATTACTTTGAATACCTGAACCTATCTCTCTCTCTGTCTCTCTCACTCTCTCTTTCTTTCTCTCTCTCTCTCTCTCTCTCTCTCTCTATATCTATATATATATATATATATATATATATATATATATTATATATAAAGTAGGAAGAGTTAAGAATAGTTACTTTTAACGTAAGGCGTGACTTAAGACGATAATTTTTTATATAATTAATATTTTTATATGTATTTTCAACTATTATTTATTTATATATATATATATATATATATATATATATATATATATATATATATATATATATATATATATATATATATGAGTTAATGCGACATTTTGGTAAAGTTTGGCGGCATGTACAAGCTTTGGAGCCATGACGTGCTTTTTAGAACCTTGTTTTTTTATGTTTTAGACATTGACCACATATTTTTCAAATGATGGCAAAGTTTAGTCTCTTCATTATTATCTAAATGCAATTAACAAATGAATAGTAGTAGACTTTTTCATTTCATATATTTATTCCTTATCTAGTCCCTAGAGCTTTTTTTTTTTTTTTTTTTTTACAAAAAAGTCCTTATGTTTAAGTGTGATTTGGATGTTGCCACATTTAGTCCCTAGAGGGTTTTGTTTACAAAAAAAGTTCTTATGTTTCAATTTTCTTTTATGTTGGCAGGTTTGACCCTTATGTAGGAAATAAATTACAAAAATTGTTCCCTTTTAATAGGGCTGTAAACGAACTGAACGTTCAACGAACTGTTCGTGAACCGTTCGGCGGCAAGTTCGTTTATGTTCGTTTATCCGTTCGTGTTCGTTTATGTTCGTTTACACGAACAATGTAATTTGTTAAACGAACGAACATGAACAAGAAAACTTGTTCGTTTATCCGTTCGTGTTCGTTTATTTGTTCGTCTAACTTAAACGAACGAACATGAACAAGCCCCGTTCGTGTTCGTTTGGATCGTTTACAGCCATACCTTTTAATTTACAGAAGATGTTATTGTGTCCTTATTTAGTCCCTAGAGTTTTTTTTTACAAAAAGGTCCTTATGTTTAAGTGTGATTTGGATGTTGCCACATTTAGTCACCAGAGGGTTTTGTTTACAAAAAAAAAGTTCTTACGTTTCAATTTTCTTTTATGTTGGCAGGTTTGACCCTAATGTAGGAAATAAATTACAAAAATTGTCCCGTAATGTAAAAATTATCCCCGTAGTTTACAGAAGATGTTATTGTGCAATTTTTTTAACAGAAACAGTCCATATGTTTAAAAAAGGTTGGCAATTTTAGTTAATCAAAAGTCAATGTGATTTTCTCATGGGCGTTTTATCAAACATGTAGAGTGCAACATCAAATACAAGGTTAAAAAGACAAAAGTAAAATATTGAAAAACTAATACTATCATTTATAATCAAGATTATTCATGCATTCAAAGATCACAGTCAAATACAACACTAATGAGAATCAAAAAATCGAATACAATTAATAAAAATTAAGAACATCATATTAAAGAAAGAACCTGGATGATGAATGTGATGCTGCAAAGGGTGATGCTGTTCGAACGTGAAGTTGCAAAGGGTCTGAAGAAAACATAATCTACGAACAACAGCACATGATTTATATATAACTTTCAACGATGATTATGGAAAGAATATCAAATTTCGAACTCTTTGATTCTTTGAAATTGAGCGATGATATCTCGTAATCTTTTAGATACGTTTCATAAAATAGATGTGAATTGAAAGAATATGCCAAATGTGTCAGCTAAAAACGTGATTTTAATTAGGAATGAACGAAATTTACTTTCAAAAATTATGATGAAGTTTAAATGAGTCGAATACATTTCTTTTATAAATGACGTTAACATTAAATTAATTGATCAAATTTTCAAATTTAGTCAATATTAATTTTATTTTAGGATGACATCATCAAAGCGATCAAAGAGTTGAAATTAATTAAGGAAACATAATAAATGACCATGATTGTTGAAAGTGATGTCATAAGGTTTCTCTTTTAATATATATCTAGACTAGATTAGATATCATACCAAAAATTGAAATGTCAAATTCACATTCGGCACACGATAGATTCTACAAAAATAATTAATCATAAAAACCATATATACATTGATTATATATATATATATATATATATATATATATATATATATATATATATATCTGTGTGTGTGTGTTTGTGTGTGTATATATATACATATATATATATATATATATATATATATATATATATATATATATATAAAAGTGGAAAGAGTTAAGAATAGTTTCTTTTTACAAGGTTCTAAATAACGTAAGACGTGACTTTGCGGCAATGTCAAGCCTCAAGTTTTTCCAAGCCTTGGCGAGCCACGTCGTTTGTAGGGCGTGACTTAAGGCAGTAATTTTTTATATAATTAATATTTTTATATGTATTTTCAACTATTATTCATTTTTATACATATATATGAGTTAATGCGGCATTTTGGTAAAGTTTGGTGGCATGTACAAACTTTGGAGTCATGACGCGCCATGACGAGCTTTTTAGAACCTTGTTTTTTTATGTTTTAGACATTAACCACATATTTTTCAAATGATGGCAATTTTAGTCTCTTCATTATTATCTAAATGCAATTAACAAATGAATAGTAGTAGACTTTTTCATTTCATATATTTTGTCCTAGAGTTCTTTTTTTTACAAAAAGGTCCTTATGTTTAAGTGTGATTTAGATGTTGCCACATTTAGTCCCTAGAGGGTTTTGTTTAAAAAAAAGTTCTTATGTTTCAATTTTTTTTTACGTTGGCAGGTTTGACCCTTATGTAGGAAATAAATTACAAAAATTGTCCCCATAATACAAAAATTATCCCCGTAATTTACAGAAGATGTTATTGGGTCCTTATTTAGTCCCTAGAGATTTTTTTTTTTACAAAAAGGTCCTTATGTTTAAGTGTGATGTGGATGTTGCTACATTTAGTCCTAGAGGGTTTTGTTTACAATAAAAGTACTTATGTTTCAATTTTCTTTTATGTTGGCAGGTTTGACCCTTATGTAGGAAATAAATTAAAATTGTCTCCGTAATACAAAAATTATCCCCGTAATTTACAAAAGATGTTATTGTGCATTTTTTTTTACAGAAACAATCCATATGTTTAAAAAAATACAAAAAATGGCCCGTACTTAATAAAAAATTTACATGTTACAACCCCACAATATATATTGTCATTTTTTGTCCTTACACTTTTTTGGTTTCACACTTTGGCCACATGAGTTTTGTATGTTTGAAGGATTGCTCCCTATATTTCCGTAGTAATTAAATTCCCCCCCCCCCCCCCCCCCCAACCTAGTAACCTACTAGTTAATAACTAAAAATAGCTATACAAATAAAATATATTTTTATTTAATATGTACCCATAGGTAACAACTATGGTTTTAATATATATCGAATTTATCATATATTTATATTTAAAATAGTTAGAACATTTGATACACTACATGAAATCCTCCCTAATAAATAAAAAGCTTTTTGCCACGTGTCACACTGTTATTGATTTGGCCACATGTCATTGGCTACATGTCATTTTGTAGTTATTTTAAATTTATTTTTTTCCACATGACATTTTATTGTTTTTTTCATTTTACTAATTTCCACATAATATTTAAATGTAATAATTACAATAAATGTAATAATAAATGCATATCAATTTCATTAATCGACTTCCTTCTAATTTCAAATTTTCTAAATTAAAGTTTCATTAGTTTCTTTTGTTTATTTACTAAATTATTTGTTTAATTTAAAAAAAAACAAACAATTTAATTTTAATAATTCAATATTTTTCTATTTTTTTTCTTATAAATTCAGACTTCTTAAATATTTAGAATTTCATATTTTTTTTTTCTTTAAAATAAACCCATGTAATACATGGGTCTTACACCTAGTTAGTAATAACTAGGAATGTATTCCCATGCTACGCATGAGTTAGAGTTTATTTGGAAATTGTCCTCTAATGTGGTGCTGAGCAAACAGGAGAATCCCCCACATAGTTTTCTAATGCTACAAATTCTTTCTCAGCCTTGGATATGCATGGAGACATAACTTTACGCTTTAAATTTTTCTGCAACCCACCAACATGAGCATTTCATCCTGCAAGAAGCAAGAAACCCATAAGACAGAGTTGTGCCAAGAAATTAGCAGAAACATTAATCTCTGAGGCTACATCTTTCAAATTGACTTTTCTTCGTTCAATCAACTACAGAAAATCATTATGGATTTTTTCTTTATTGATATTATCATTTATTGTTTTCAATCTCAACATCAAATCTAAAGCTTTCTAAAAAAAAAAGCAAAGAAATAATAGTCAACCTGATGAAAAATCTCTCCCGCATAAGAGCTCGACAACTTCGTTTTCTTTTTCTGGAACCTGCCCCATAAATTAGAACAAAAATCAATCAAAAAAAAATGTTGGATATTGAAGTAAATTTAATGGTTCATGGGGGATAGATACATACAATACTTAGAAGCGAGTATAATTGCCAATGTTTGAAGGAATTGTGCCAGTAAATTGATAGATATCTTGCAACAGATTTCCAACCAAATTGTTGCCTCTCAACACAATTGCAGTAACTAAGCGGTAGCCCATGAAGTTATAACATGCACAATTGCAGTAACCAAAGTTCCTGAAATCAACACAATCATATCAAAACCACTTTTCGTGGATACATATGAAGTTTTTTGGTGAAAGATTAATGGTGATATATGCATGAAGAAATCAGCTCACCGGTTCTTTTTTCACGCAAGATTATCTGATCTCCTCCAATTTATTCAGTTATCTTTTCTTAAGATATTATTGGCTCCAACCTTTTATGGAAAAGGAAAATTAAAGAAGCATACAATTAAGTGTGAAAAAACAAAATAAAAAGATCCATAATTAATGAAAGTTAGAATGTTACTACACATTGGCTCTCAGTACAAAACTATAAAACACAAATTGTTGTGTATAACTAAAAACTGTTGTGTATGGATCAACACCCCTCTCCTAATCCCTAATCTATTAAAAGAACTTCATTTTACAGATTTGGTTGACTCGGACGTTTCATCAAACACCTGCTGTGCAAAACAAAATACAATTACAAATAATAACAAATTCTTTGAATAGAACCAAAGCTAAAGGCTGAAATTCTAATAGCCGAAAGAAATTATGAAAGGATAAAGAAGAAGCAACGGAATATGTGTCTCTAATCCACTTACCCAAACCTATCAAAAAATATACTCTCCTAAGAACACACAGAAACACAGTGAGACGAAAATTCAGAAGAAACACTAACAAAAATCAAACCTTTTCTTTGTGAGGTACCTGACACGTGTACAGTTACATGAACCGACGATATTTCTATTGAAATTGAGAAGAAATTAGAAAGCGAGAGAAAGTTACCTGATTTGATTGCAAAGATTTCTTGGAACGAATGGCAGTGAAAGCGTATACACGAAGGTAACGTTAGTCTGCCTTCTTCTCCCGGCGATGCCGACATGGAATGGAGTCCGAAGCGAATAGAGTGAGAAGCAGATAAGTGGGTAAATGAAGAATCCGTCTTGGAGCAGGAAGACACGATTAAACAATTCCAACCTAAAATCGAAAGTTACAGATCGATACAAGACGACGACACAGATTAAACTCTGTGGACCGTTCCCCTTGTCGATCGGTAAGAGGAAATCACCGATTACAAAGAGTCAATGACGGTGAAGGTCGAGAAATGGATTGAAGTTATCGGGTAGTCGACTCAAAATTGAAGTTGCCGCCATTGACCAACTGACGACCCGTTGACCACCAAAAAGGGGCTAGGGACCAAATTGCAAATATTAAAACCTATGTGGCCAAAATCTGAAAACCCATAGTATCTTGTTGGTAAGGCTCCCACAATTAAGGTTATATTATATATAATTATTATTTATATACATACTAATTCACAACTTCTCGGTGAACAGGACTTTCCTATGATTGGCTGATTTTTTTTTCCTTTTTTTGTTTTTTTTCCTTTTTTCTTTTAGCATATTAGTGTCATCGACACCGACTCTATTACCCAATAAGAATTGGATCGGTGGCCATCGACTCTTAACCCGATATCCCACCGCCCATCAATCAATATCATCGCTCACAAGAAGATGAAAAAAGTTCATCGTAGTCTGTGGTTTTGCTCCTTCTACCTTCAACATTCCTTTCTAACATGGAATCGAAGATGTCGCCTAATCGGATGTCGTCTGGAGCCGCCTTTTCCGCACCGCCTCTTCATCCAATCGGATGTCTGCTCTTCTACTGCTTTAGGGTACCGATTGTTCTTGCAGACAGCCAAATTCGAGAAAGTAATTGTGTATTTGTGTGTTTTTTTTTTGCGATTGAGAAGGGACGACATCAACATGATCATTTCACGATTCGGTGCTTTTCTTCTCAAAATATGAAATTGGTTGTCGATGGATGGGGGAAATTGGCTGACGGTGCTCAGTTGAGTTCCTCATGCCGACATATGTTGTTGATTACCCTATGTTGATTATGTTGGGAATGCAACAAAACAAGTTAAACACTTCTGAAAAATTGATAAATGATTTCGGTAACACTTGCAGAATAAAAACTACTGAAAATTACAAACGAAATTGAACACGATATTTAACGTGGTTCGGTCTAATCTGACCTACATCCACGGGCGAACGAGAGAGAGGGGATTTTATTAACACCAAAGAAATTACAATCATACAAGGCTAAAATCTGCCCTTGTAATCTGATCACTCACTGTAAGATATCACTCGTAATTTTTGGCTGCCAAAAATTAAGGCTCTGCACAAAAATAATACCTCACTAATTTCTTTCTGTGTATATACAAGAACTTGAGTTGTGTTGCTGCTCTGATACCAGTTTGTTGGGAATGCAACAAAACAAGTTAAGCACTTCCTAAAAATTGATATAACGATTTCGGCAAAACTCGCGGAATAAAACTACTGAAAAATTGCAAACGAAATTGAACACGATATTTAACGTGGTTCGGTCTAATCTGACCTACATCCACGGGCGAACGAGAGAGAGAGGATTTTATTAACACCAAAGAAATTACAATCATACAAGGCTAAAATCTGCCCTTGTAATCTGATCACTCACTGTAAAATTGCAAATACGTGATAACACAACACCATACACCTAAAACAAAAGAGTACAAAATGACACCACCATGCTATCTGGTTTTTAGATCAAGCTCTTTGGTCTAAATATTTTTCAAATATGTTGCTTTCATTTAGTTTGTAGATAAAAAACTAACGACTTGGGCAGTTGACTTTTAAACTAATCCAAAAAAAAATGAACAAATCATCTAACAATGATCAATTTTTTTACCTATAAGGCATGTGAAATTGCCATTTCCAGTCTTTTTCCAAACATTTTCTGGAATAGAATGCTATGGTTTATGAGCACTTTTTCCCATTTGCCCTTTTTCTTTAAAATGATGATAGTTATTCATGTTGATTGGAGAGGTACCTGTTGTGTTAGCAAAACCTTAAGGATACATGAATTTTAGTGTAGAATCGGTTAGTTTTCTTATACACTCATAATCCAACATTGCAATAGATGTACTTATAGGGACATTTTTGTAATTTACTTATTGTAGTGGTAAACTCAAAAATGATAACTATTGGGTCTCATATTTTAATGTGAACATTAGTTCTGTTGCTATAAGAATAGCTAAAATTAACCAAGCTCATCCACTCTACCCATCGAGATGAATATCATATACGGTGAGTAAAATATGAATTTCAACCCATTTTTGTACATTTTGCCAAAAAATTCAACCATCTACAGATTCAATTTTGTTCCAATATACTTCAACTTTGGCAGATGAGTTTCTCTTGCTAACTACCTATATGATCGGAGATGAATACTTCTGACTAATTGTTTTGGCAGATTTGGTTATTACCGGTGGTTTTTTGTTGGTTAAAGGGGGTATGCCAGGGTCCATGAATTATAGATTTATGAAATTGTGATGATGAGAAGATGTCGAGCAGTGAAGATTCAGAAGATTTTTCATATGGTGGCTGTAGATTTCAAAGGGTGAAGCAGAGGCTAAAAGATTGATCGACGGTTAGTACTTCTAATGGAGATTCGAAGGCTTCTGTGTGGAAGAAGAATTACTTGGACATATCCGATCCATCACAGTTCCTGGACTGTACAACACCTGTTGTACCCTCTCAATTCCTCTCCAAGGTATGATTCTACTGAAATTTCCATTGATTTATGGAAATCCCAGATGAGTAATTTGTCAATTCTGCAAAACCCAAGTGTAGATTTGTTTTTGATTGCTGAAATTGCGATGAATTTTGGTGCGGAATGAGGCTTCAAAGCTTAATCGGCTATGGCATCCATGGGAGAGAGAAAAAGTCGACTTATTCACGTTGGGTGATCTTTGGATTAGTTTTGATGAATGGAGTGCTTTTTTATTTTTTTAATTTATTTGACTAAAGAACAAGTAAGTAATATCATGTTCATCTATACGATAGCAGCAGACCTCCATCCTTATTTCTTTTGTTTGCTCGATTAGTCTTGACTCTTGATGCTACTTTTACAATTTGGTCCCTCAACAATCTTCATAAGTCCAAAATAGAACCCAAAATTAGTAACACAAAAGAACGACATAATAATTCTTTTGTACTATCAAAGTTAAGATTGATACTATATTTCAACAGAACTAATTAAATTTTGTTTGAAAACTAAATACAAAAAGAATTTATAAAGATCCGTACATAATTTAAAAACCAAATGCAATAAATAATTAGAAAAAACAAGATATGTATGAAATTGATTCATAATTAATTAGAATCCAACAGTTGGTGCTATACACTTAGGAATTTGAGTTTCCTTCTTTTATTCCTTTATGAGTGTGAGGTACTATGCTTTACAGATTCTTAATTTAGATTATATGTATACTTATCTCACAATTACTATTCATCAGGGAACAATGAATCAACATTGTTGCAGCAAAAGAAAAAAAAAACAAATTTGATTTTCCTTGATGTTGTAGAAGATAAGGTTAAATAGATTATTACAATCTTTAATGAAAAAAGTGACTTTTTCAAACACTACCACTTATTTGGATAACGTTCTTGGATCATAGATTCTCAATGCAAAAATATTCAACATAAATAGTTCCAAGTTCCAACTAAACATCATAGAATTATAAAGAAACCTCATATTTAGCTTAGAGAACATATTACTTTTTAGTTTTTAGTCATTTCATCTTCAAATTATTTTCCATTTTTTTTCTGATACCTATGTGCAATTGCAACATCTTATCCCAATGTATGTGATTAAAACTTCTTAACCATCATAAAAAGGCACACGAACTTGGGTGGCAACATTGCAGTAAGTTATTCAATCATTTTATAAAAATTTAACAATTTCATTGTAAATTAGGTTACTGGTGTATGCTTTTATCCTTCACCCAAACAACAGTGCAAAACAATTGGTATTAAGGGCTCATAAAGAGGCTGTGAACTCATTAGTTGGAAATATTTACAGATTTACCCTTGGGTTCATTTTCAGACAACTGAGACACTTTCATATGTGTCAGCACTTGAATTGCCTTTGAGGTTGTACTTACAGTGTGCAGAGGTAAACTTATTATTACCTATTGAGATCATTTGACAAATCTACCCTCAACCTTTGCATCAATTATATAAGAATTTTTGCTTTTTCTTTTTTCAGGCTGTTAACGACTTTGATTTGGAACCAGTTTGGAACCAGTTGTATATGAGTTTTTCACCCAAGCATTTGTTTTATATGAGGAAGAAATTGCAGTAATTGCTCAATCTCTTTACATGCATAAACAAAGTTAGTTGAATAGAATTTTTTTATTCACAAAATTAAAGGATGATATATTTTCATTTGTCATAATTAATTTTTATTGATGTCTTCTATTTGTTTCACAAAATATTAGCTAAGAGATGACCATCATTTGAAACATGGAGGGAAGATGGAGTTGGGATTGTTTCTTAAGAGTTGCTTAAGCTAAAGTATTGTAAAGTTTGTTGCTATTTCCTCTTTTTTGATAAAAGACTATGAAATACCCTCCAACCCCCACAACTCCAACACCCGCAATGCTGGATTCTTCCCTAGTTATTAAATAATTTTAAAACCTTACATATATCAATCTATTAAATTATATTCGCATAGTAAAATAATAATATTGGATTGGTTGGCTGCATAAAAAGATTATGGCTATTTACTATTTGTAACTTTGCTTTCTAGCTTTTTTTACTAGTTTTTATTAGGGGTGAGCATGGTGCGGTTTTAGGGCCAAACCGAACCACAAATCGTAAGGTGCGGTTTTTGAATTCTATAAACCGTTGGGTGTGGTTTTTTAATGGTTCGGTTTTGCGGTTTTTTAGTGCGGTTTCGGTTTGTACCGGTTCGGTGTCGGTTTTAAACCGGGTCAAACATATGGTGCGGTTTTTTATGTTCACCGGTACGATTTTTCTACCGTGGTGTTCATGTGAAGATTTATGATTGTATGACATGGTGTAATTTCATTTCCTCACATTTAGAAGGTGAAATTTTGAGTTTTTTTTATGTGTTTTACTTGATCACTTCATTTGCAACCCATATTTCCAAGCTCATTTTTTTATTCAATTTGTGCTTAGAAGTTACAAGCTTGCAAGTTGTAGCCCACATGGTGTTTACACTTTACACATA